GCAACCTCCAACTCCTGGGCTCAAGCGAGTCTCCTGCCTCAGCCTCCCAAGTAGCTGGGACCACAGGCGCCCGCCATAACGCCCGGCTATTTTTTGGTTGCAGCTGTCATTGTTGTTTGGCGGGCCGGGCTGGATTCGAACCCGTCACCTTGGGAGTACATGGTTGGCGCCTTAGCCACTTGATCCACAGGTGCCGAGCCTTTTTTTTTTTTTGAGATAGAGTCTTGCTCCATTGTGCAGGCTATACTGCATCGATGTGGTCACACCTCACAGCAGCCTCAAACTCCTGGGCTCAAGTGATCCTCCTGCCTCAGCTGCTGGAGTACTGGGACTACAGGGACATGGCAGCATGCCTGGCTAATTATTTTTATTTTTAGTAGAGATGAGGGTCTCATTCTTGCTCAAACTGGTCTTGGGTTCCTCAAGGGATCCTCCAACCTCAGCCTTCCCGAATGCTAGGAATATAGGCATGAGCCACTGCACTGGACCTGTCCAGCACTTCTTTGGAAAAGAAGCCGAGTGTGTGTGCTGTGGGTTAGGGGAGGAAGGAAGACCCTAGTGGCAGCATCTGAGGCTCCTGTGTGTGAGCTCCATGCCCCAGCTCTGGCCCCAGCATGCCCCACTGAGCCCTTTAGTTCACCAGACTCACCTGCTAAGAAGATATTCTGTGCCACTTGGGAGAGGTCTCACCCTCCACCCGGAGAGGCTCCAATAAAGCTTCCTTCGCCCTTTGTCTGTGTTCCATAGAAATGGTCCCCATTCAGTATACCCCCAAGGATGTCTTGATGCCTCTTAATAGACTGAACGCTATCCTTTGACACTACTCAGCTGAACTGCTTTCATGCCCTTTCAGTGATGAAAGAAAAGGAACATTGGCCTCCCATCATCATTCTGTAGAGGAGGAAGCTGGGGCTTGGCAGACAGGAGAAGAGAGCTTGTCAGCACCAGGGTCTTCTCCTTCAACTCCATGGGATCCTGCCCTGCCCACAATACCAGAACTGCTTTCCCTAGTTGTCTGAGACATACGTGTGGTGTCCTTCCATTGCCAACAATGGCTACACAGTCCTGCTTATCCATGTTTCAAGATGTTCATTGAGGCCAGGCATGGTGGCTCATCGCAACACTCAGAGGTCAGAATGGGAGAATCATTTGAGGCCAGGAGTTTGAGACCAGCCTGAGCAATATAGCAAGACTCCATCTCTACAAAACAATATAAAAATTAGCTGGGCATGGTGGCATGTTCCTGTAGTCCCAGCTACTTGAGAGGCTGAGGTGGAAGGATTGCTTGAGTGCAAGTCTTTGAGGCTACATTGAACTATGGTAATGCCATGGCACTCCAGCTTGGGCAACAGACAACATGTCTCAAAAAAAAAAAAAGGGTGGCCCCTGTAGCTCAGTGGGTAGGGTGCTGGCCACATACAGTAAGGCTGGTAAGTTTGAACCTGGCCGGGGCCAGCTAAACAGTAATAACAACTGCAGCAAAAAAATAGCCGGGCATTGTGGCAGGTGCCTATAGTCCCAGCTACTTGGGACACTGAGGCAAGAGAATTGCTTGAGCCCAAGAGTTTGAGGTTGCTGTGAGCTGTAATGCCACAACACTCTATCAGGGCAGCAGCTTGTGACTCTGTCTCAAAAAAAAAAAAAAAAAGTGAGGGGTGGGAGGAGGCACTTGCTCCATCCTAGTCCTCATGTGGCCAAGCTGGCTTCCTGCCTTTAAGCATGTCCTTGATATAACATGGCAGGGAATGTGCATGTGGGGGGCCAACACTTTGGGAACAGGAATTGGCAAACTTAATGGCCCTGAGGAGGGCAAGAGCTTAGAGTCTATGAGAACAAAGGGTAAGGAAGCAGGTGAGGGCAAAGGACCAGCAGGAACAGGATCTTCAGGGGAGCAAGGTGATGTAAAAATGATTGTCAGACTGGGCAC